AAACATAGCCGCTATCTCTGAAATAATACTCATGACAACTACATCAATAACAAAATAAAATGTCCGTATTCCCATTAATTTCCAAATTGTTTCGGATATCATGATACTTTGGGAAATTCTTTTGTTAGGAAGACTTATTTCTTATTCTAGACCTCAGAATACCCTAAGACTACACCAAAGGCTTTCAAAATCTTCCACGTTAAGTTCATGATGATAATACAATATTTATTGGTTTCCATGGAAACAGAAATTTACATTGTTTGCAATCGCTTTGTTTTGATTTGTTACGCAGGCGATTGACACGAGTAAAATAAAGTTTTTTTAAAATATATTTTAATTGTGTATTTGCTCAATTACAATGAATTACATTTGTTTTTTAGGAAATTCATAAAATGCTATACAGTACTGATAAAGATTGGTAAATTACTCTTCGCAGCATTTGCAGCGTCTTTTAACATTGTTTTTTTATCTTAGGCTAGCTTTTGCGAAGTAAAGCATTTGGTTCTAAATAGCCATGGTCCTGAAAATGTCCCTGTTGTCTACGACAGTAGGTCAGGACCCTGATGGGGAAACTGTTTATCCTGTTGTCATGGAAACCCTCTTCGGCTACGTCATCACTTCTATTTCCAGCTTTTCAGGTCGTATGATGTAAGAACACTATCAGCTCTTTGCCCTAAAATACTGAAGCACTATAATTTTATAGTGCAATTATAAAGTAGATTTTTTTTCTCTTGCATCTGTAACCCTCACTATTGTCGGGACCATGTAAGTTTTCAGTTGGTGGCAGCCAATCACAAGACAAGGCTAGTGCGACGTTGCCACATCACCCGTTGACAACACTAATTAAAATATACTAAGCAATATTTTCAAATCAGCTGGTATTATTAGATTTGGCAACACCGCACGGTTCTCATTGGTTCATTAAAAACCATATGGTAAATAGGCTAAGGATAACTGAAGGATGGGTGTAGGATGGAGTAAGACGCCTTGTGTAGCTTTGTTAATGACTAAGATCAGCTGTTTAGTTAGTCAGAAACTTTTATTAAAATGCCAATAAAAATCTGGGTACGGTTATAAGATCATCAATAAGCTACATCCATCTTTACTAAAAGTTAAACCGACGACCATCTTATTATTAGGAGGGTACCATAAATACTTAAAAGATATTTTGAAAATACTCACAAATATCTGAGTATGAAGTTAATATATCATATTCCTATGATTTGTGCCGGTTAAATCCAACAACTCTATTGAATCGATATCAAAATCAATTCGGATCAATAATTAAGTCATAAATAAAGGGAAACGAATACATATAGCCAAGTTGTGCAATTGTCTATTACGACTAAGGTTACGATATCGGTTACTATAACTTCTTCAAAAACCACATATCTGCGTGGAGAAACAACAAACCAGAAAACAACAAACCAGAAGCTCAAACGTCGCACAACACCTGTTACAAAATGGACACTCAATAGGAAAAGTAGAGGATAATCTATGTATTTTAAAGAATTGTAAGAAGGGATTGTGATGAATGCTTGGGAAGAATTCTATACTTATAAGGAAAAATGTAAAAATAGAAATAAGTTGATTAATGAACAAGTAAATTTCGATTCCAGTTGTACTTATAAAAATGTATTGGCTGTGTTTCCGGTAGCCAATAGCGTATAAGTAGGGACGCCATTCAAGATTCTTGTCATTCGCCTATTGGGTCTGATGATGATTGGAGTGTCCAATCGAAATCGATCACCACTTACCATCTTTTGTATATTTACCGTCTTGTGAGTAATAGTATAAGCGTAAATATGTGTTTTAAGTGTTATAAGACGTATCTTTATTTACTTTCCGTAAATTTAATAACACGTACAATGCTGATCAAGAAGTTATTTATAGCTTCTTGTAGTATACTATAACTGTATGCAGTATACTATAACTGACAAACTGTAAACCGTTCTTAACGTGCATTTTAATGTTTTGTTAGATTAAACACACTTTAAAAATATGTTTACTTATTCAACAAACTAATATTTAAAAAGAAGCACTGGTATTTTTACTTTTTATTTTATTATATTCAATGGTAGCATTGACTATTAAATTGTGTTACTCATTTCATTATATTTTTAGTTAAAAATAAAATTTAAAAACAGCTAAATTTGTGATAAAATTTAAACAGATATTTTAGAATAAAATTAATATGTTTCAGTATTAAAATAATATAGACTCAGTAAAAATAGTAGTTTTCCAAATTTAATATAAGCAAAACTATTATAAAATATTACTACTACAAGATATTAGTACAATTATTAGATATAGATAATCCGTTGCTCGAAATCGAGCAAAACTGCAACTTATAATAAAGACCAAAAACATAATCAGTGAGACTTCAATCAAATAGGTAGTCTATCTTAAGTAATTTCTATGACTAGACTAATTTCTATGACTTTCTATGATTATAGAATTATCATGTTGTACAAAACTATAAAAGCTATCTACAATATTGAAATATTAGATATTAGTACAATTTTCTTTAATTCGCGAAAGCAACTATTTTGTTGTGATTCAGGTTTATATTATTTTTAGTATAATTTTAATAAATTTTATAAACAATATGTTTCACTCAATATCCATGAGATTATAATAAAACATTGTATAAATCTGTAAGAAAAGCTGAGGGCATCGACGCCGTTACGCCGCGTCTCAAAAACAAAAACATTTCCACTCCAACGAAATATCACCAATGGAGAGAAAACTGTTTTCAAACTCCTTTCTTACATTTGGGAAGTTTTAGAGTGAATTGGTCAAACCTCAAAACAACGTGGAGATTTGTGTTTGAAAATAGTACGATTTATTCGATTTTTATATCTAAACGTTATGTTGTCTGATATGTTTACTTTATAATGTTTACGATAGACGTTTTCCTATTGTTTTAGATGGTCAAGTAAATAAAAGTTACTGTTCCAGTGTGGTAAGATTAATCGTAATATTGAGAGTTTTACTGTAGACTGTCGTTTGCTCGATTGGCTAAGTTAATTTTTATTATACATTTTAACGCAATAATAATAATTAGTTCACAGTAGTGTATACTTTTAGTAAAAATCTAAAGATCCCCTATTTTACTGATCTCTTTATATGCCAATTGATACAAACATATTGTTAGAAATACTAATCATACTACTCAATATTGATTTATTTCCATCAAAGTTGTGATACACGGTATTTTGGACACAAATTAGAAGCAACCCTGACTCATTTCCATTTCTATAAACATCTTCGCCATTTAATCATACTCCTGAATTTGTAGCTACAACTAATCATTACAAGCAATGCGGGGGTGTAGAGTCAAGTGCTGCTGCCAACGACAAAGTCTCGAACTAACTATATTGACAACCTGTCTGTTTTCCAATATACTTATAAAAAACTCTGGTCACCATGATCAATATATCAAACCATACATTTAAGTGAACATAATAAGCTATTAAATCTCATCCTTATTTAACCAGAAACATTTTCGTGAAAATAAGATATTTCGTATTTTTGAATGTGTATAGCATAACACACAATTTTAACATGTAATTTGCATTTGGTAAGACTATGTATTCACAGTGAAATGTACTATGTGTCGTACTTAAGGTCAAATAAGCGTTTTGCTATTTTTTAAAGAGGTCAGTGCCCTCTTTTGGTTTTGTATCTTGCTGCCTACATGTTTCTCAAAGGTCTGTGCGTACACTGTATCAATCTAAGCAGGATGTTAGTCAGTACAGTCCAAAAATGGGTTGTAATGATACATTTTAATTTGCGGCACCGGGAATCGAACCCACGACATCGTTGCCTTGGTGTCACAATTTGTCGTGCTACCAACTGAGCCACAGACTATCTATGTCTTACTCGCTAATAAAATTATTTAGTTGTATTTTTAATGTATCATTTAGCTATTTTATCATGGATGGATAATGTTTTAGAATTTGTATCACAAAGGTCAGGTTCTGTATGTTTTATATACTCCTGATTTTTTATACTAGAGTCCAAATATATACGTTGTTAGGGACAATGTAGTTTGACCTCTGTGTACTATTGTTTGTTTCAATTGTATACAATAAACTTTTAACCAGGGAATGGTATTTGGTATTATATTAAAAATGTTATATTTATCATCCCCATGCAATCTCGTACATCAAAGAACCCTTGTGAATGTTTTCAAGATTCATTACAAACATGTTTTCGTAGTAAGTTTGTACTTGATTATAGAAAATCTAAAACTACATAGGCAGTTTTGTGTGACTAAAATGAGTCTTCTTTCAATAAAAGTCTAAAACTGAAGAACTAAAACTGAAGTTCTGATTAAGAAGAGATTTGTCTTATCTCTTTGTTTTAAGAAAATTGGTTATTATGTGTCTATGAATATCCCATTCTTATAATCTGACCTCACTATTAAGGTGACTTACGTGATCACAAATTAATAACACGGGTATATGTAGATATAATAAAATATCTCCCATCACGCAGTCATTATAGTTCTGCCTCACATGCACTATGCAAAATATCAGTGAGACAACGTTAATTTACCATGTGCTCTATTTAACATACTACTTACCCTTAAACTTGACTTCTTGCAGATAGGTCATTACCGGTTCGTGGAGATATATAACCTTTCAAAATAATAATAAATAAATGGACACTACTTATTACGAAGACGTCATTTCGCTAGTGGTACCTTAGTGATTTCTAAATGTCTACTTTTCATCATACAATTGTAGGACAATGCCAGATCTGTGTCTAACGGAGTAGTGGAGGGTGGTGGGGGGGGGGGGGGTTAGTGAGTCCAGATAGAGTCTCACACTACAGGCTGGCCACCTGTGTAACGTGTTTCTCCTACTTACCCTCAACTACCTTTTCTTGTATGCTTTCTTGAAAACTCCATAAAAGTAAATTTAACACATCTCACTTAAATAAACTTCCGACGAGAAGAGGGTACCGTTTAATGAAACACAATATTTCTCATATTCGTTTATAAACGAAATTGGTACAACGATACAATCTGGGTTCAACACATTAGTTTATTTTTATACAAATCTATATTTGTTAATTATCAAAATATAATACGTAAATATTATATACAACAACTTCATATAAAAAGTAACATCGATATATTTATATATAAGCACAGGATATGTTCAGATAGGTAAAGTCTAGTGCAAAGCGCTAGCCCCGATCTAGGCAAAGGGATCTAGAAAAATAAATGCGATAGCGCGATGTGTAGAGAAAATAATCGTAAGTCTACGTTTTAGTTTTTGGTCTAAGTAAAATATATTTATCTGTAAGTTTTTGAATTATGCGATTTTAGGTTATTTTATCACCGTGCAATAAAAAGTATGAAAATAATGTCTACAGTTATTTTAAAAGTTCAAATATTAGTAACTAAACCCATTAGGATTCATCGAAATAATATTCGACCATGTCAAATTATATGAATATTTGAAAATTAAACAACAGGGAATGTTAGTCGATTTAGTCTACGAAAGGAGAGGTTCCGAAGGTTTTTGCAAAGCAAAATGCATGAGTTGAGCAAGAAATAGGCCATAGCTTTAGAAACTCAGCAATTGACTGTGAAATACCAGCCTTGCAAAGGGAACCTAGAAAAGCGAACGATAGGAAATCTACCAGTCTTAATGGGGACTTCTGACTGGAGAGGAGCCATTTTGCGTTCTAATATTTAATGTTTGCGATGACACAAGTAAATTTAAAGCCAGCCAAATCGTTTTTAAAGTGATTTTTGAATGAATTTGAATTTGTTTAACATTGTTTTAGTTTCGGTGAAATTTTCTACATGCTATAGATTCAAAGATTTTTTTAGTAGTGGTAATTTTGTTGAATTTGTAAAACTGTCATCTCTTTCAGTCAGAAGCCGGCTATAATTGTAATCGTAAACACTGCCAGAGAGGGCCACCCTTGTGAACAAATGCTAGCTCATAATTTTATACTTTTTACTGAACTTTTATTTGCACTGAATCACTTAAATAACTTCACAGAAACAAATAGTGTAACGTGAGCTAACATTTGTTTTTGCATAATATCCAACATGTACAAAACACTGAATTTTTGGGTGTCGTAGACTTTTTGTCCACATGCAACAAAAAGCTGAATAACTAAATAGCAAAACAAAACGTGATTTTTAATATATTTAGATTTGAATCTGGCAAGTATGCCACAAATATGCTCTATTACATATTTTCAACGTGGCCACGATACGTTAAGTTGTCACAGATAAAAATGGCTACTTATTTAGAACTGTTTAATTTGCATAAAGAGTACTATGTCACAATTTAGAACTATTGAAATAAAAATACTGAAGCACACATAATAACGATAATATCTTAACGTATTCTAAACTAAACAATATGCACGGGTAATTCCAAAGGGGTTTTTTTGTATCAGAGTGTATTCTCTCTCTCTCCTATATTCGAGGGCATCTATCAGTCAGTAAATACAGGGGTTGATTCACGAACTTGTACATTTATTTAATTAATCTTCGGGTTTTCGTGAATCAGAACCTGCAAAAGTCCAATTATTATTTAATGTACATCCTGTTGTGGAAAATATTCTCGTATAACATTAGAATATTGGTCGTAGTAATCTAAATGCTCAATTCAAGCTCAATTTGAAACTAATTTTCTAATATAGATCATTCGTTGGTAATTCATGATTTTAATATTCCAAAATGACAATATATTACGTAATGTATAAAAATTTATCTTTTCAGTATACTTAGTTTATTTTCGTAATTTTTGTAGTTTTGAACATTTTGTACATTAAGTAAAACTGGTCAGTGTAAAATAATTATCATTAATCATTATCTATTCTATACACAAATCATCACGAGCTTCAACACATAGGCTAGAGCTGTGTAAAAGGCAGTTTAAATAATTGAAAAAATGAAGAACAAAAATATATACACTGACTATAATATACATTAGATACCAACAAGAATTGACCGAAGTTAGAGCTGTTGTGCAACTGAGACGAAAAATGGCAAATCACAAATATATTTTTATTATTTTTATTTTATTATATTTTATGTGGAAGCGCACTGTTTCTTTATACAAAACTACTTATTTAGAAAATCATCCTAGTTCAGTATATCGATTACAACCATTTATTTCTATGTAAATTAACAGATTTGTATACAAAAAGAACTGATGTCAATTTTTTTTAACCAAGAATATGTTTTTTTTTTAATAAACAAAGCCAATATTGAAAATGTTATGTACAAAAACTATTATACTGGGTTAAATTATGTACATACAATTTAAAAATATATTTAACCAGATTCAGTTATCAAATTTATCAAGTTTGTTCAAAATTAATATTTCAACTTAACATTGCCTTGATAAAACAATATACAAATTAGTTTGATCTTGCCTCAAGAACTGGTTAACGAACTTCAAAGATTACTTAAAGGACAACACACATATTATTATTGTAAAACAGCAAACTTTGTCAGTAAAATATCACAAGACTGCTTTAATGTGGAACTTTGACAGTAGTGACTTTCAGGTAGTTTTGTAGTGCAAACAGAGCACAGATGTGTTGGCTAGTAACATACATGTGCGGTACAAATTATCACAACATAAATTCACTTCAGAAACTAATTACACAGCCAAATTTGAAAGTTCATTCACATAGTCAAACCTAAACCTCTACTTACAATTTTTTTTAATGCAACTAGGCCTAAAATTTCTAAAAATTTGAAAGTGCTCTAAATAAGTTTTAAATTAGTTTAATCGAAATTTTTGAATTTAGTAAATTGTTTTGGAGGGCGGGCATTAATTGCGCAAACTGATCTGAGTTGCTAACTTCACCAAATGGCGGCTCTCTTTGACTTTAGTAGGTTAGGTTAGGGTAGGTTAGGATGACACGCAACCAAGAACATTCCTTCGGCCGGCAACTCACCCCTACCTGGCTTGAGGTTGGCGCAACCAAGAAAGATTTTTTTGGACCCTTTGAGGGCTTGGCGCAATTAAAGAACTTTTTGCGCAATCAATGCACGACCATCTTGGAAATCTGTTAGGTTAGGTTTGACTGAAGATTTTCCACTAACTGCTCGAGTCGCAGTCTAATATTGCCTTACAGGGGAATTATGTTTGTATTGTCTCTTAGTGAGGTGTAGTTGTGATCAGTGTACGTCAGTGATTCGTTGGGCGGGTCAGTTAAAGCCGTTGTCAATGTTTAGGCCTCTGGTTTTCTTCCGCCAGAGAATTAGGCCATCTTCTTCAGGCCTCCTAGTTGAGCCACTAGGGACTCCTCGCTTGGGATGTAGGACCTCTTCTTCAGTCGGCTCTCGGGCTCGGCCTGGACCCAAAAGATAAATTTACAATTACGTTATAGCATGCTTTATTGGTAGTATTTATACATTCATTCGTCTCTATGATTGGAGTGATGTTTATGACAAATAGGTTTCATTCGTCAATGTAAAAGTGCATTAAGAATGCCCATCAAAAAACTTCTGACTTATAGCTCCAATCACAAAATGTAGGTAGTTTCAGAGGAAGAAACCTAGCCCCTCCACGTGAACATACCTTAAAAAAATAGCTTAACAGCTGAGGTTTGCCAAAACATAAATCAGCTGCGTTAAATAACACATCATATTTTGAGCAAAAAAAGTGAGGGAACTTCCCCTCATGCCACCTAAATTTTGTGAATGGAATAGAGAAAGGCAGACTTTTTGACTTTTTGATTGTTCAAAACTGGTCTCAGTTGACCATAATTATTTGGCTATTATTGTTTCCGGCTAAACAGCTGATCTTGGTGTAACACTGGTCCTCGTGTGTGTGACCTATTTTACTGTGGCCAACAAAATATTTCAATATCAAATCCTATTTTAATAATATCGTAAATTACATATTCAGGATATAATAACAGAGAAAAGGCATTCACGTCAGTTGACAGATGTTTCTGCTAAGACCAGTATTTATATCACAATGTCGAGGAAATCCTATCAACCTTAGGGGTGGGTCCACACAGTACCAATCCAAATATTCCACAGGGGTTTGGTTACTTCGCTCTTACGTCATAACCCCGATGCTTGAATGAGATGTTTGCTGGCAACAACCCAGGTTTGACGTCAGCGGGCATGAATGGCTCGGGGATCAATACAAGCTGCCCTTCCCTTCCCCAACCATCCCTTCCGCCTACTTTCGTGGAAAAACACGCTATTTGTCTCTACCCACACTTCTGTCGAGTGCTAATTCCCGCTAAGCCGTCGCTCATGGCCCGCGTCAAATTGATTAGACGGTTCCATGTAATGGGATCTTCATTCGAGGAAAATTCCGTTTTCCCTCCCCATCACTGTCATTAACCTTCAGATCTAAAGGGATGTTTTAGGAACTCTGAAAATATTGAATAGTTTTTTGTTGGGTAAAATAACTTGTGACTGATATTTATAACAGTGTGACTTAGTTTTGTGTTTATGTACGTCATATGAATGACCCCTTTTCGTTGATCCACATAAAATGATCTTGCTTCTCTGTGGTTAGTCATAACAAATGAGGCTTGTGTTAAGCGTGTTAGAAAATGTCGTATTTAACCTTTTGAATAAAAAACCCATTTTTTTTGTTTTAGTGATGAATTCTATTTTTAACTCATAAAACAAAGTAAAAAACACCTCACCATGTTGTTTTAGCACTCTTCCTTACTAGGTTCTAAATTAGAAAATGACATGTGCTAAATATAAAATGTCTGCATTTTCTAATCAATTTTCCACTCTTTTGCGCAAGTTGTATCACCCTGGTCACTATAAATCATATAATTCATTCCCAATGGAAAAGAATTCACGATTTTCTCAAGCTGTATTGACAGTAACTTAGTTTTCAAAGCAAAATTATTATTACAACTTCGGCATTCCTACCTCATCCAGTTTGTCCTCCATGTGCAGCAACCTCTTGATGGTGTCGTAGACCGAAGGCTCGTGTCGTCGTGGCTCACTCCTAACGTTCACAAACTTCTGAAAGTCCGGAGCTCGGGCTGGGTTGGCTGGTCGAGGCAGGACGACCTCCTTCTGACCTCGCATTGGCGCTGGGGTCGCCTCTGGAGGAGCTGCGGTGGTCGACGTCTTGGACTTGCGACTGGAGAACTTAATGTCGTTGTTGTTCCTCTTGTATTGACTGGATCTGAGAAAAGGAACAGATTGGTATTGGAAGTGTAGCCTATGTGTTTTTGCTCAATGTAGTCAAGTGAATTGGTAAGGGGGTTTTGTTTCAACACCAACATGTTCTTCAACCGTTCCTCATTTCAAGATTTCAATATCAAACAGCTTTGGTAACCATCACAATAATAGTTTAGGGATATTTTTAAGGACATCAAGAACCTTATTCGTCTGCTCTTGTTGCAAGACCGTATTACAGTGAATAATGATTTATCTTTATTTAGGTACATAACAAACGTCTAAATATTCCTGAGCCCAACAAGTTTACGGCCAAAAATTGCAATGAGACAATCCAAAACACATTCGGTCCAAAAACATTTGATCTGCTTCTATTACTGAAGGTCAGTATTGCCCAAGAGCAGTCTCATCAGTAAAGCCTTGCACCATTCCTCACGTTCCTTCTTTTAAAACACTCCACGGTTTTGTAACCGAAGGAATCTTTTTACACGACTCTTTGAAAACATACATAGCTGATATCAATGAGCTAAAAACTTAAATTATTAGCAAACAACGTAAATCAAAGCTTACCTGAATTCACTCCAGTCGTTGGCCTTGGACTGAGCGGCAAAGATGTTCTCCTCCTTCCTGTTCTTTCTCTTCTTGTCAGATCTCTCCATTCGTTCAGTCCCAGCCATAATCTTTTCTCTCTCTGGTCCTCGGACAAGACTCTTCAGTTCTCTCACATCCTCATCTTCCTTAGAGATGGTCTTTGTCTTGCTCGTCTTCACCGGCTCTCCGTACACCCAGCGGTCACTTTCTTCTTCTTCTCTTACCGGGAACCTATGGAGTTAATTATTATTGTTTCGTGTCGCTCGAAATGTCCTGCACTAAAATCCTACTACTCGTTTATAATCTCCTTTTTAGTTTGACCTCCTAGTATAGACTAAGAATTTAAATTCTTTACTAGACTATCAGTTGTTCATATTCACTTAAAATATATACAATTTCTAGTGCTCGCTGCGAAATCTGAAGAACTAAGGGGCCATTTGTAATTGGGCTGCATCAAAAAGGTTTAAGGTAGATAGAATCAAGACCTACGTTTTGACCCTTACAAAAACACTAAAAACATGCTGTAGGCGTAGAAAAACGTAAATGTACCTACAGACAATGTACCTACCTTCGGTTAGCATCGTTGTACATCTGTGCAAGGATCAGGTTCTGCAGGAATCTAGCGTTGACGTCAGCATTGCTATCCTGTAGTCTCGAGTCCTGGTACCACATCTCCTGGCCATAAGGAGCAGCTTCTCCTCTTTCGCTTCCTTCCTCCATATCAACTTCCTCTGGAACGTCTTCTACTGGATCTGTAACCTGCAACATGAATATGTTCGTGTCAGTATTGGTGGAGGATTAGACATCGTTTAAGTCATCATTTGCTCAGATATATTTATTTTGGCATAAAATTGAACATCTTATGGCCCTTCACTATAATACATCAAGATTATTTCAACATACAGTATGAATTTAAGTGTTTCCACTTTTATAGGAAAAAGTTGAAGGAAGATTAAAGAATATTATGTGAACTGACTGGTGATACCCAGTGGAACACAAAAGATCTCCTCGTACTCTCTCACCCGACTCGCAATGCAAGCTAATTGGTAGCAAAACTCGAAAATGACTCATCTACTTATATAAAAGCCACCAATCTACTGTAGTAGAAAGAAATTTTAATTTTAATTGTAAATATTTGTACGTGTCTAAACATGACCTTAACTTTTACACATAAACTCAACATATAAGTGTAGACCGTTCATTTTGGCATGAATATGGAAAGTTTACTTTAATCTTGCAAGTGAATTTTGACTTTATAGCTAAACTTGTAACAGTTTTGCTGTATTGGAAACTGTAACAGACATTTAACACACAGACAGATTTTTGGTTTAGATTTGTGACAGATCTTTGGCCTACTAGATTGAACCGGGATAGTGAGAGGAGTCCCGACGATTAATTTTATTTACAGCGTTAAAATTGAGAGGACCTACCAGCTTATTGTTACATTTCAACATCTACAACAGTCATTCCAACAAAATCCAACCTACATCATCGTATCCGTAGTAGTAGGGCCTCTGCTGGTCCAGATAGTAGTTAGGCATGACGGACTGGTAGATCGGGTAGTAGCTGGGAGGCTCTTGGGGATAGTAGTAGTCAGAGTCTGGGTAGTAGATCGGCCTTGTGGATCGTGGAGGGTAGTAGTAGTTGAGAGGTAGAGGAGTCCAGAGCGAGCGAGAGTAGTGGCTCTTGGAGTACTGGGGGTAGGCGGCCACAGCGACGGACAGTCGTACCATCATCAGCACAACCGCCAGCAGCGGGACTGCCGAGAACACTGGTGTCATCTGAAACAAAACCATCACTTTTGGTTCTGTTTCAGGGGTTAGGGAAGGGAGGGGTTTGTGGGGAGAAATTTGTACCACGTACACCTTTCAGTAATGATGCCTTCATGCCCACTAATGCCTTACATTTTAAATTTGAAACTAATCAAAACTGGAGCGGTCTGTGTAAACCATGTCTTCTGGATGGAGTTTTTGCCCTTACTGTGTGGTGGTATCTAAAAAAATTAGGATGAGAATAAAATATTCCACAACACTCCAAACAAACAGCTTAGTCAGAGCCTGTGGACGCAATTTACAATGTGGATGAAATATCTGGCCAAAAGATGGGTTGTTTTTCCACGGTACTCGATGACACAAGTTAGCCTTAAAAATTTCGTTCAGAAATTCCTTTAACTCAGGTGACCAGCTGTTTTACTGAAGGGTGCATTTGGTACAAATGTTGGGTATATAAGGTTGGAATTTGTTTCATTTAATATTTTAAAAATTTAACAATTGACTCTAAGTTGAACAGTACAAAAAAAAGAAACAAATAAGGTAGGTACAATAAGGATACATGGTGGTTTTAATATAAATAGGAATATTAAAAAATATATTCACGTGAAAATATTAACGACAAAAGAGATAAATAAAAATAAAAATACTATAGCTTGTTTTATTTAGGATTTTTCGATCAAAATCTATACATAATACGAGTTACTTTTGTAAATACAATTATTTTATTTCAATAAACTAATAGAATATGTAGCACTATTTTAACACTTTCAAACATTACAAATTTTAATTTTTTTTTTATTAATTCGTTTCGATGTAATATTTCATGAAATAAAATAAGTACGCATTATTTTCATTGGTACTACTATTGGAGTGATGGTTTTGTTTCTATGGTTTATTTATTTATTTAATAACTGTTTAAACATTTTAACAGAGTAACAATGTGTTGGCGACAAGTCTAGTTGCAGAGGTGACCGCTAGAATGCAGTGTCGTCGTGTCGTCCATTTTCTCTGGTGAGTTCCTTGTTTGTTATCTTTACAAATAATTGAACCTCTTGTTTTTCACATCAAAGCTTCTGTTTTCTATCTTTACCTTACTTCTTGTTACAAGATGTATTACTTATCATGGTTACAAATTGTTACTATTTAAGGAAATGTAACAGTTGTAACGTCATCCAATGAAGCATATTTAACTGTCTGCATCGATACGTGATACTTAATAAAGTTTTTTTATAATAAGCAAATTTTGTTTTTACTAAAATAGAGCTAAATATTACAATTTCATTGATTTCTAAGTATACAGCCATATTGCTTGTTGTTCCAATAGAGCTCCCAAGCCTGTTTGTTTTTAATTTAAATTCAAGACATTTAAGACAAAATACTTTATGACTGACTCTGAATGATCATATCCATTTGTATTTGACATTTCTAAAGGTTTTAAATTGATCAAAATGAAGGGTTATTCAATTTTTCAATAATAAGGTGAGATTTTTATCTCGAATATCACTGTTATCTTAGGCTATATATTTTAGTTCAGTGAAACTTGCACAGTAATTTTATTTAACATAATTTCAAGTGCTGAGAGTGGTTTTGAGTTTTGCAAACTAAATATATAAATAAAAGGACAACAATCTAAATATAAGCATTTAAAAACCATTTAGCTTTATAATTTTTTTTTTATAAACTGGTGATCAGTATAGTTTAAATGGTTACAGTTTTATATATTTAACTTTGCATTATAGCTTACGCACGAGACGGTTCGAGGAATAATTTTAACAGCTGTTTAGGCCTGCATACAACGGGAGTATATTTTATCTATGATACAACTTACCAACAGTCCAAGAACTCTCGTATATTTCCAAAAATTATACCCAACATGTTCTTAAACTGTCATATACTTATTTACGCACAGTTATATGCTGTATACATTTTCTTTTACGTACCAACTCTCAATATAGTACTAACTCCAGGAGTAACTTAATCTAAAGGTATAAAAAACAAACACTAACTGCATGATTGAATCGTAATATATTTCAGCATTAATAATAACTATTTACTTACAACAGTTATAATTGAAGAAATTGTCCAAATATTGTCTATGTTGCACTCGTGTAAAATACGTTATTGTCAATTACTAGCAAATGTGCGAGAAAATGTGGATGACTTGATGACCATAGCGAATACTTGCTTCCGGTCTCTTAGGCCGCGATAACGGAAGCAAGAATGTATTTAAAAGCATATATTTCGTTAGTTAAATCATCGTAAATTATAAAACTACCAAAGTCATACCTGTGATATGTATTCAAACTATATTTGGACTATTAATGTATATATTTTACTACTGTAAATCTATCTCGCTGGAAATCATCAAGTCATGTACATAACAATGACGACCAACGCCGTCCTAAATATTATTATAAAAATAATTTGTTTAGTTATTAGCAAAAGTCTGTTAGTACAACAATAGAGAATAGAAATTGTTTAAGTAAGATTAATTGAGAAATTGGAAGTGATAAAATACCCTGAAGAATTTACAATGTAATAAAACTAGCTTAGCGAATGGAAGAGAGGGATTTGTGATTGTACATTCATTATGCGAATATATCTAGTTTTAATGCTAAGTCGTCACCGAGAGATGAAAGATAAGTATTAGGCCTCTACTTATCTTTCTCGTAAAAAACGTGTTAAATAATGTAGATGATGTTAAAAGTTAACTACTGCTCTTGGAAAAATGAAATTTGTGATTTTCTGACTTGAAAAGGATTTCAGGACCTATTGTCAAACGCATCATTTGTAGAGTTACTTCCAAGAAAGACTTATTAATGCTGAAAATTAAATGAAAAACATTGAAAGCGTTCAAGTAACTAACTACATTTGCGACACATCGGAGAACAACAACGTTCGAGCAATCATTGAAATACAGCCGGAATTGTCTGTAACGCTGAAAGGATCCCAGGAAATCAACGTTTTACTCAAACACCGAAACACTTACTCGAAAGAAGCCTAGCGGTCAGTCGTGATATAGCGAAACACACGAAAATATATACGTATAACGGTGACTATTAAAAATAAGCTGTCATTTAATATATCAGTCTGGTTCTCGAGCAACCCGGTTATTAGGCCTAAACCGGAGTCGTCGAAAAGGAAATCATTTAGTTAAAACTAGATATTTACAAATATTAACTTATCACTAATATATTTCCGAGTAAAATCGATACGGGAGAACAGAAGGGGCCCCGCGAGGCGGATATGGTGGTTGGATATGAGATATGAGCTACGAACAGTTTAGAATGAACCGTTTCACATGTGCGTGATGCGAACGACTTAAACACACCTAAAACTATTTCTTTTCCTCTCGACAAGACTTGAGCGATATCGGCTCGAGGCCCGGGAATCTAACTAACACTTACGTCAACGACAAAATTGACTCAACAGTTCGGATTAAGCACACCGAGAAGTCTAGTAAAATCTAACATCGGTTCGCCTATTTATTGTCGGCTTATTGTCGGAAAGCGTTAGGAAGGGGTCGGGACGCGGTCACCCTAGGCCGGGGAGACGCGCGTCCGCGACAGTACATAGAAATATTAAAAAATATATCTCTTATGAACGAAGGGCCTACGGGAATGTCTTATTGTCAACACATACTGTATTGCGTACGGATCTATAAGTAAGGGGTGATAAGTAGACGATTGAAGAAGTCAAGCGATCGGAGCCAAAGCAGAGGAGTCTAAACGGCGTATCGGCCGTACGGAGGCTGAGCGACGTTGTAGGGGCCGGGTCCTGGTCGGGCCTGGGAACATACACAAGGAGATATAGCCTGGAAACGAACACTCATCAAAGCACAGGGAACTGAAACGAGCCTTACAATCATTGCGTGACTCGAACAAATAAACTTTGTGTTCAAATCGTGATTCTTCAATTTCAGCAATCAATTAGTGAAAAATGATGTAAAAGGTTCAATTCCCTGTACTTTGATTACTTCTTATACACTAAGTTAGCTTTATTAATATTTTAATTAATTTTTGAAACTACATACCCTATCACTCCCTAAGCCTACTATATAAATGTATAAAATGTTAAAGTCTGCATAAAAGATTTAACTTTTTAAATATCAGTACTAAGCTAATTTATATAAAAAATATTATTTATTTTTCATATATTTATATGAATATATTGGTGTTTCAATTAGTAGGCATCCTACATACATTATATATCGCCAACCTTCTGTACCAAAAAGGTGTGACAATATATAACAATATTTCATATCCTGCCGATGCGTTATACCAAGCCACATTTGACAGAATATGACCCTATATAGCTAAGGTAGAATGACTAACTACTTCAAGTCGTGCTGAAACCTGGAAAGTTAAACACCCTATAGATATTTGACCATAAATACTTTCATTTACCCTGCTAAAATCTATAACCCCCATGTTTTTTATTTTACCAAAACACTTAACCCGGTGGTTTATAAACATTTAAATTCAGTATGATATGTTTCGTCGTTTAATTTTTCGGCGTGCCTATTTATTTACAAAAGGTTAAAAAGTTGTCCGAACATTATCGTCGTGATCGCGACAATGGTGACTGATCCCTAAATATATATTAGTGAAGCACAGTAGCACCTGAAAAGATTAGTATAATAACCAACCATGACTATACTGCCGTATTAATACTAATACTAATGGGGAAATGAGTATCATGTCCAACTGCCTAGAGCAACCCGCACGAAAATGGACCACTAGAAATTAGAACAGTTGTTTACGTAATACATTTTAAAACGTAAACAAATAATTTCAAAGGACCATTTGCATGCGGTCTACTTTAGCCGACGCTTATAAATAAGAAGCCAAGTGAAAACCTGAAAATTCATTAAGCTTACATCTAAAAAGTGCCCAAGACACTTTTCGTCTGAATGATATCCTCTCCCAAATAGGATAGCAGTCAGGCGTTTCAAATCAAAGCCAATACAAAAGTTGACTTTTTTGAACAGCTAAATGAGTTTGGAAACATTTCAAAGTAATTAATTACTCCAACTTTCTTTACTTCAGAGGGATTAGAGAGGTGATTAAAAGTCAATCAAAATAGAGAGAAGGTAAATAAATTGAGATTTGAGAGAGGTCGACACCGGGCGGTGACCTGTATTCGGGGGTGGCGGATCTACACGTGGCTCACCCCCACAACAATCCGATCAGCAAATGTTTGCAAAATATTGTTTTCCACTTCAGCAAAGAGACATTTAAGGTTTCACACGATAATTTTGTTGAAACCTTTTTTTGAGGTTTAAATATTTTGTTATGTATTTACTGTTTAAAATTACTGTCCGTATGGAATTGATTGCCTTTAGATTATTGTAATATCAACAATAAATCTCGTATCAAAAGTTGAGGTTTGTGGGAGACGAAATGTATAGATTTGACGTGATAGCGAAGTGGGTGATGCCCAATGAGGCTGTTCAAGGACTTTGCCCTCTTCAGCCTTGAAGGTAGTGATTATTAGTAGGGCAAGACGGAAAGAACTGATTACCAATAGGACTTGATGGAAAGAACAGATTATCAGCAAACTTTACTGAAGTTTATCAGTAAGGCAAGATGCCCATATGGAAAGAACTGTTTGTTTTAAGTCCATACGGAAAGAACTGATTGTTTTAGGGCCAGGATTGTGGAGTGCTTAGATGGGCTGACTGCTTAGTTGAGCCCTGAAGGCCCGTAAGCCCCCTCACCACGGCAAGGTGCAGGTCCGAGGGGGAAAGGGAAAAGGGAGATCACATGGCGAGAGAAAGAAGCACTCCACTAAATTGATGTAACCGATAATCTCAATAGGGCGGAAGGGACGAGAACTTTTCAAGGGATAAAATTTGATTCTATGTCAAAACTTAAGAGATAATGAGTGATTTTCATAGAGAAATTGTGGGTCGTTTATAGATTATACATCATCAGGGATTGAGATCATTATTTACTTGAAAGGATTATATAGAATGAAAATTCTATGGAATTCCTCGAAGCACTTTTTAATGCACTATCACTTTTTCAAGACTTCATTTTATGAGTAGCATATTCAAAATACTTTACAGAAGACATGGTTTTTTTTAATGTAAAAAAGTAGGTAATACGCGTTTTTGGGCTTAGCAAAAACTGTTTTTATGGAAAGCAAATATTTTTACCAAACAACTGATGATTTGAGTGACGTTTAATGGGTCAGTATGGTTAACGAGTTTGCTTAAAAGTACAGTAGTCGAATGCAACAACCTTAAATAATCTAAGTCCTAGTATTTACGATAACCCAATTGCATATTCTGACGTCAAGGCTATTTTAGTATTGAAATGGCAATTCTATTTCCTTTATACTGTGTAAGATATATTACTGTTACAGTGTAATTTCATAGTCTATTGCAATCCAAACAAGCAATATTAAAAACCGTTGACATAATTTGTTTATTTAATTTTTTCAATAGAAACAAAACGAATAAACGAATTACAGTATTCGCTTGACGATAAGAACAGAGGTGATTTTCGCTGTTGCCTCTGACAATAATAATTTTACACTGGATCCTTCCAAGATGGCGGCGGTATGTCTTGACCTCGGCCTCAGATATTACTCCTTGGATTACAGGTCGTTGTTTCTTCAACTATTGTTGCTCTGTGTATGGCGCTCCCGACCTTTATCAGCATTCCTGACATTTTTCCCGCCATATAAAATAAGTTTCACCTTGATACGAATTCAGAAGTAAAGTGGTATATATGTAACGTAAACAGGCATAGTCAAATATCATTTAGAATGTCCGTGTTTGTGTAATTGGAAGTGATAATTAGATATTGACATCGTTGTTAGCGTTCATTTTGCTTTTGAGTTTCGGAAAATGGAAATAGCGTTTGAAACGCACTGTTGAACAGTTGATCTACATGTTTAAGTGGAAAGAGTTCTTACTTATTAGCTAGAAGTAATACTGGGTAGCGAAACGGACACAGTATTCTCATGAGGTTGCCGGTTCTAGTCTGATAAAAGTCAGAAGAATTTTGATGGTTCTAAAATGTCCTTGATCTTTGTGCATTTAATAAATATGGTCCTAACTAAAGAACCAGACTATCTTAGTCATAATCAAATCTGCAGTCACATTCGTTTGACATTCATCCTTCTTTTGTCTTTAAGTGGGGAGCGAGGTGGTCTACTGATAGAGCGAGACTTTGGTCCATGGGATCACGGGTTCAAATCCTGCCAAATCACCAATGGATTTTATCTAAGTGGTAAGCCGCAACCCCTGGATCAAGTTTGAAGTAATGTGAAAAATGATCCCAGGTTAGTGCCTAGCGTCTTAGGACAAAAAATGTAATGACAAATAGTTTTAAAATACACTTTTGTCACACAGTGTACGAATATAATAAATAGTGATTTTATATTATATACGTTCCTCACATATGTTCAACATCTTTAAAAATCGCCAAAATCACAATTTTGTAAAATTAAACTACCTGATCTTTATGTAACCACTTTATCGAATCTAAGAGATTCGCCTGTCGCATTTCAGACAGTATACGTTAATAATTAAATCGCCATTGTGGAAATAGGACACCGATAGGAAATAGAGAGGACGAAGAGAGAGGAAGAAAAAGAGCAATAAAGACAGAGGCAGCGCAACAGGCTGGCGCAGTGCGGGGGTTGGCGGTGCGTTCGATTGCGTACCCCCTCACCCTCCCCCTGGCACAGCTCAGCTACATGCTAAAGTACAGGCTACATGGTACAGGTACATTAGTCTCCATGGCAACCGACACGACGTGTTGGAGATGTCAAGAGATTATCCAACATATCACATATTGGGACTTTTAATAACGGACAGCTCGACGGACGGCTTAATAAGTTTCTTAAGGGGGGGGGGGGTTGATATTTGATATTTTTCTAATCAATAAAAAAATAGACAATTGGGATTCCTATAAAGTATTTTCAACAGTACGTTATTCTAGCCATACAAAGTTCGCAGATCATTCGGTGTTTCAAATCGTGTTATTATTTGTTATGATTATTGAATGCTAAATAATTACACATTTTTACATTAACTATAGGTTTTATATTTTATGAAAACAGTTTTGTAACAGAAAATTACTCGGTTTCTTAAGTTTAGCTAAGAGTTATATTTTATTTTACATCTCAACATTTTGAGATAGTAAAATATATTTTTGTATTCATAGATTACTTAAACTATGCTCATGCTTGAAGATTCGACCACCTTCCTTTAGAGTGAAGGGTTAAGAAAACACGTCACGAGCCCAGCTAGTTATTTAAGCATTTGTTGTTATCAACGAATCTGCTCAGAACCAAAACACATTATCATCAAATATTCCATACAAATCCCTCACGAGAACTCAAGAATGGAAAATACTGTTGAAAAGTATTAAAAAACTGAATAATTTGCATTTGTTTAGAAACAATCCCATTAAGAAAGGGTGATTATACTTTCCTCTAAAATCTAGATAAAGTATTAACATTTAAATTTATCTCATTTAAATTTTTTTTTACCGGTAGTTTGATAAAGAGCTAAAATAAGAAATGCATACATTAAGAAACAGTTTGGGCAGTTCTATATTAAATTAAAAACGACAACAGTAGTCTTGACGTTAGGTTCCCTATAGTTTGAATGTGGTAAATTAAGATTTCTCGTAATGCTATTAAAGATAGTTTGCTGTACCTTAAATTACAAAATTAAACTAAAACAACTTACCTTCCCATGGTCCACTCTTCAAATGTAATCCAATACGGCGTTTTATGCTTTATGTTTATGAACTATAAACTACTCAATAATTGAAGTGTATCCTTAATTTGTTTGACAAATTGTTTACATTTGTAAACAAATTAGTTTCCTTAACGCTCCGAATTACAACTGACTATTTGCAAAACCCGAACAAGCAGAGTATTATTTATTCGCCCAAAAAGTTTTAAACATATAATTACGTCTAAATGTATAGTTTTATTTAAATAATTTCTAAAAAGGCCACATATAAAACAAATATTGACCATATTGTTCCACAGTACAAGCTAGTACTCACCTCGACTCAGCGGAGTTCAGCAGCAGCACAGCAACAGGACGAGCGTGGCTTCAGCAGCCCTTATAAAGACTCTGGTCCCACCCATCGCCCACGTAAGTTGAATGAAACCGCCAGCCGCTCTCTGATTGGTGCACGCGCCGCGATCCGCTCTCCTATTGGCTGACAGAACCGTGACGTAGACCAGGTACTCTAACGCGCATCGAGATATGTTTTGTTTAGTGGCTTGGCGAATAATCTCTTTCATGAAAAAAATCATGTCACAGACCGAGACATTATCGAATGTTAAATATCAAAATTTGGTGGTTGACGACCTTTGGTTCCGGACCGTTGTATATATAAATAGGATCGTCCAATTTGGACACTAAAGCGTAGATTTTTCACTGTTTTAACAGGAAATAATTATTGTGTCGAATAAAAAATATGTGAACTCATATAGAAACTAGCAGAGCACCCGTCTTTCGTACGGGGTTGACATATAAGTATAAAACGCTTATTGCAGTTATACTCAAGCTTTGCGTTTGCAATGGGGAGCACACAGAAAACATTTTGATCTTTAAATTTACGGTATGATATAGTATAACACATCTGCCATAGCCATAATGTTCTACCACTTCACCTAAACAATAGAAACAATCAAATTATCAAATAGTCACACAATATCACAAATTATTCATTAAGTCAAAAACATAAACATAACTGTAAACAATCCTTCTTTGACAGTTCTCATTGTATATCACAGCTTTTTGTTGCTGCTTAGTTCAAATTAGCTGTTGGTATATATGCAAAAACAAAATAATAATAGTGCTGCCCCTTGTTGGGGAACCCCATAACTTTTTTAATGCTATTGCATGTTATAGAACCAACTTGTTAAGCTTAAACAGCTGACTGATGATAGCTTAAGTTTCCGATTAACATATAGACATACTCTTATATCAAAGATCCTTTTGGGCTCCGCCTCAGTGGCTCTGGAGATTCTAATGTTAACCTTATCAGAATATTTAATAGGAATAAAAAAATTCCAGCTGTTTTAACTACACAAGTTGGTTCTATGATATACGCCAACCCCGTACGAAGGACAGTTACTCTGCTAGTGTTTTATATTAAGCATATGTCGGCTCGATTAAGTAAATAAATCATTAACTTTTCACTATTTTCAGCAAATAATTACTGTGTAAAAACTGTTTGATGTATATGTGAACATATTGCCAGTAAAAAAGAAACACAACTTTGGACTAACCAATGCATATAAATGTGCTATTTTGGTATTAAATGAGTTTTTAAGTAATTATACACAGTCTAAAAATGAAGGCATTGAATCGGAAATTAAACAAAAAGTAATTAAACCAAAAATAGTTGTTGAACATGTTTCATGCGGTACTAAATTGAAAACTTTAATATTTTCCATATTATGTTTTTATATTAATAACCACGAATGTTACTTCTTTGTTATCGCCAAACTAATGTTTTTTGGAGAACAGTAGATTGACATGACTCATTATTATATTTAAAATGGGAGGTTTTTGCAGCCGAACCTGTTTATTTCTTCAATCATACGGTATACACCAACTTTAAAATACATAAATTGTGACACACTATAATAAATTGCATGCGAAGAAAAATCCATTCAAGCTTATGTAAAATTTAACAAAAGTTTAAGTATTGTCTAACTTGTAATATAAGTGAAAAACTTTAGTTTAACACGATAAAGAGTACAACATTGGTTTGATATTGATACTAAGGATTGATACGAAGGATGATGGATATGTGATGATAAATAGACCATAAAGTATATAGCATGCTTCATATTATAAGCCAACACAATAACCTTTACTACAAGGATTCAACAACTAGATAAATAATACATAACAATAACGGGTAGAACATAAACAATCATCACACTGTTTGGAAAACAGCCGTTTTTAGTTCTCTAAATCGTCCGCAAAATTATCGCTTTCGGGTAACTTCAAATAGGGAACAGAAAAAATGGTAAATTTTCGATTTGCTAACCTCAACATCTTTTTATAGCGCATTATAAATGTTTTTTACTATTTGAAACACACATTATGAAAACGCTGCTAATCCCACGATATTTTAAGTTATTTTTGTAAACAACAGAATTGTAAACATGGATACCGACTTTGTATAACCTAAAATTATGTGGTTTAATAATGTAAGGATTAGAAGGTTATTTATACAGTATGAATCGCACAGAGAGAAATTGTATTTTTGGTACTTAATTGTATTTCCATTGCGTACCAAAAATAGCCACTTTCAGTCCTTGTGATGAAATATACTATTTCCTCATACTGCGGCAAAACTATAATACATGCGTTGCGGGTCTAAAGTAGCTTTTTTAGTTTTGAAGCTCATTTTGCGTAAATAATGGTTTAATATCACGAAAAATATAATACATCGCACCGACAAAAAGTGTCCTTCAGCCGAAACTAGTTACTTCTGCCCTAGTGATGAAATACACTATTACATACAAGATATTTTTATAGGGATTGCGGCATTATCACGAGGATAAAATCCATTGGTGATTGGCGGGATTTGAACCCCGGGCCTCTGGAACCGAAGTCCCGCGCTCTAGCCACTTACAGCTCGCTCCCCAGACAAGATAATAATGACAATATGTTTATATGATTAGCCATGACGTAGACTGTGAATAGTGAATATCATTGCAATATTACCTATGCCTGTTACCTGTATAGAAGTATTTGTATTGAAGTTTAGTAAAACGCCAGAGCCAGAAGAAAAAGGAACAAATAAGAAACAAGGAAGAAGAAACATAAACGAGCTATATTCAATGTTTTAATTTAGGACCTATTTTTATCACAAATTCTTCGAACAAATATCTTTGATAAGCGACAAATTGGTTCAACCTCTGAAAGATTAAATAGAATTTTCCATCACGCCTCTTGTCATCTCTTATAACAAGTATTTGTTACAATAAAATGCTGTTTATCTATATTAAAATATTTTCCCTGATATATTAGTTTACGCAACGATCACGTTAACACTATTCACGCTAGTTGCTTACACTGCTTTACTTACGTAGGGCAGTGTTGTAATTACCAATAACCACTAATCGTAACTTCTAAGAGAGGTTAGGTTTTCGTTTATAACCTCTCATTGCTATTGAAAGTGATGCAACTAGTACCAACCATTCATTAACAATTAAAATGGTCTAAACAGCTGATAAACTGTCGTTGGAAACATTACAATTTTTCTTCTTTTCGCTCAATCCTTGAACCTCATTGGTCCGATACTAAGAAAGAACTTTAATATGGTGTTGTAAAGTAAAAAAAAAAAACAAAAAAAAAACAATGCTATTAAGCAAGTAAACAATGCTGTAATGTGAATCTCTTCAATTCTAAGAACTGAACTGAAAAGACTACTTTAAAATACTGTCGTATCAATGTGTATCAATCATTGGTTTAGAAATTACAAATAATGTTAAAAATTTTCTCCATGTTTGAAGGCTGCTTAGGAAAAAACTGTTGTAGTTTGCTTGTTTATAGATATATACATTGATCAATTTTTTTTATTTATTTATTTCAACCTGTACTCTTACTATTTTGTCTAAAATAATACTTTTAAACCTCCGCGTAGCAGCAAACCTAAGCTCTTGTTAAGTCTAATGCTATTTAAATAGGGAATAAAAAATATGTCTTGTTTATGAAAATATTTTAGTAAAAATCAGACAAGTTGAAATTTAGTCAGCAGGTTTCCCGTGGTGGGGATATTTAATTTAAACTCATCTGTTCTTAGAATTTTAATATTAAAACATTTAGTTTTTAAGGTACAAAACTCGACTTTTTAAAATAAATCGTAAGTTAAAACCAAGCTTCTTTAAGAAAAGTTAAAATTCTTTGACCGAAGCTCCTAAACCTTAATAAAAATTGTAGGAGCACGTTTTAAAATAGCTCTCTGTCTTCTTCCATAATCAATTTCAAGATCGGAGCTCCATTCTCAGACGTGGGAGGCGATGACGATAATAAGTCTTTAAGAAGCTTCAAACTCAAATTACATAATAAGCCGTCACTGTCAGAACTGTAAGATAAAGGGTTTAAACAAAAAGACTATTATGCTTTGAAGCGCAACGGCATAGATACGTCTTTGCAATCCTTAAGTAGCTGATTATTCAGAATTGTATCAGAACTGTAGGTGGGATTTATTAGATATTTATTGTGAAACTCACACACTATTGAAATGTTAAATTTAATTCTGTCCATTGATTTTTTACTTTTTTATTTAGGATGAAGTTTTTGCTGCCTCTATTAGTTATTTATTAACTCACTAATATTATAGATAAAACACACTCCCTTTAGATTCTAATTTATTCAATGTTGTACAAAATTAAACTATTGTTTGACTCAATTTTGTTTATATCTTATTGATCCTTTTTACCAATACATAATGACTACAATGGACTGCAAATTTTCTAAGCATCCCACCTATTTGCTTAAATGTAATTTCGATTTGATGAAGTGGTCTCTCTTACAAGTCTTTGTAATCTGTACTATTACAAAAAAAAGGTGGGGTCTGTGAATCTGTGTGTTTGTATGAGATAAACTCAAAAACTACTGAACCGATTTGGCTCAAATTGGACAAATATAAAGCTACCGCTACGATGATGGATATAGAACTATTCTGCCCTGCTAAGCACAGTTGTGGTAACTGACATCTGGGTAAAATTGAGAAAATAAGGGTAGTATGTTTAAAACTATGCCCTACAGTCAAAAATTGACTTAAAACAATTTTTTTGGTCACATCTTATGTATTTTTTAACGCTAAATCTTTTTCCAAAATTATTTTTAACATGAAAACATTCTAAATACTTAAGAAATTAGATAATGCTTTAGTTCTTATCAATTACAATAAAATATACTTGGCCATATAGTGGCAACTTAATTTTCCTAAGCCAATATGTTGTATCTCTGCAGATGCCACAAACTGGTCCAGCAAAATCATGGTTATTGTTTAAAATGCAACAAAATATAAGGATCCCAAAATAAACAAAATTTCT